TCTAATATTCTCTCTCCCCCCCTCCCTCCCCCCCATATATTCACTGAATTCCCTTCCAGCCGTGTAACTCCACTCTGCCCTAAGATTCTCCCTCTCTCTTCCAAACTCCCAGGGGACGATGCCGACTTCCGACTGATCCTGGTCGGGAAGTCCGGAGGCGGGAAAAGTGCCACGGGCAACACCATCCTCGGCCAGAGGGCGTTCGAGTCCATCCTGGGAGCGAAGACCACCACCCAGAAGTGCCAAAGCGGGCAGGGAACCTGGGAAAACAAGAACATCTTTGTGATCGACACGCCGGCCTTCTTCGATTCCGAAGAGATGGATCCGTCCCTGAAGGAGGAGATGAAAAAATGCCGCCAGATGTGCCAGCCGGGTCTCCACGCCTTTGTTTTGGTGACCCAGGTGGGGCGCTTCACGAAGGAAGACAAGGCCGCCGCAAAGCGGGTCCGGAAGATCTTTGGGAAAGAGTCCATCCCTCACACGGTCGTCCTCTTCACCTGCAAGGAGGACCTGGGAGGGATCTCCCTCCAGGAGTACGTCCAAAAATCCGACAACCCAAAACTGTGTAAGCTGATTAAGAAGTGCGTCAATCGCTTTTGCGGGTTTAACAACGGGGCCGAAGGAGACGAGCGGGCGAAGCAGGTCAAGGAGCTGATGGTGAAGGTCCAGAAGATGGTCGAGGAGAATGGAGGGCGGCCCTATTTTATCCCACCAGAAAAACCAAAACTTTCTTCCAGGATCTCTGCTTTTCCCAAGAAGAAGACTCATCAGTAAACACTGAGATATAATGTCTGGGGAGGGCCTAATTTCTTTCTCGGCTTTTTTCAATCACCCCTCTCCGGTTCTCTCGTGATTCGTCGTAATGCATTCATTGCGCCTTTTCCAATGTCGGCAGCAGGCTGAGATGCGAACCTCCGCGAGTCCCCGTCCTTTGGGATGACAACCAGCAATTCGAGCCAAACTCAGACGCAAAGTTTTTGTCAGATTATGCTTTTCCCTGCGTATGTGTTCCCGTTTGGGGGCCTGCTAGTCTGCTGGGAGGGGGGGCGGATCTGCTTTCGCTTGGGATAACTTTCGCTTTCTACTTTCCCTCCCCCGCCTCTCTCAGCCTGAGAGAAGAAGGTGTCTCCCTTATCAGGGAGACGGTTGCGAGAGAAACGAAAGCTGGAGGAGACCGTGAGGTGCGCGCCAACTCGCGCCAGTTACCCGCAACATCGCGGCCGCTCGCGGATTGGCTGGATTTCAAACGGACATTGTGACTTTGGTGGGCGGAGGAAGATTGCTGGTGTGACCGTGCCGTTTGGAGCGGGATTTTCCCCAGATCTCGCCTTGACTTCCCTGCTGTCACTAATCCCCTAATAAAAAGTATCCTTTTGTGACGAGGCCTGTTTGAAGAGTTCTGCTTCCTTGGGTGGTTAGCTGAGGTGGGTCCTTAAGTAAGGCGAGAATCTCTAAAGCGGAAGTCACCCATCTTCCTTGTTTGGCGGGACCGGAAGAAAAGCGAGGGGGAAGCATTTTACATCTCATTAAAAGGCAGTTTTGGGGGGCCTGCATTGAAAAAGAACATAGAAAGCTTATGTAGCCAGCTGCCCCACATGCGCAGCGGCTAAACGGCGGCAAGGAAAATCCCCAGGACTGCTTCAACCGGTAGCAAGTCCGTCAGCACTGCCTGAAAGTGCTGGAAACGCTGTAATTTGGGTCGTAACGGATTTGTTCTC